GAGCCTCCTCGCCCACACCACGCAGGCGAGCACCACGCCCGCAGGCGAGCTCCGTACCTCGTCCGCTCCCTCGCCTCGCCTCTCAACGCAGGCAAGCTCCGACTCCTCTCGCAGGCGAGCTTCTTCGAAGTCCAAGTTCGTTTTCTTCAATATTTGTGTTGTATATTATGTGCTGCGATCTCAGGAGAGTCACTCTCTCTAGTGATACCATGATGGTGATAGCTGATCCATTCATATGCTAGAAATGAATATCGATCCAGACTCCACATGCCATTAAGAGGAAATCAAGCAGTTTAGTTGCATTCATAAATATAAAGTTGAATTTGCAATTACATGTCGTCCTTATGGCATTACTGATCGAAACACTTTAGTTTCTACCAGCAAACATGCAACATTTTTGGTTCTTTACCGTGTGACTAAATTAAAAGAGAATAAGGTGGATAAATATCAGGAGGAATTTGAGAAAAAATTGGTAAGACCATCTTACTAACTGCAAAGGACGTTGGGGACTAAAAATTTGCTCTCCCGCAAATTAGAACGGAACGCAGGGGAAAGAAATTCTCTTGCCTTCCCCTTATCTTCTCTCCCTATTTTCCTTTAATTTTCCCTACCTTCAATGAAATGCAAACATACCCTAAGATATTGCCTCAAAGGTGTAGACTATAGTGTTTGGTGTAGTTGGAGTTGCTATAACCTTAGATCCCAAAAAACAGAGCCCATACGTTTGGTGCATGATGCATACCAAATATGAATAAGGATAGGATAATGATAAAAATAGGCTGTATGTGGAAAGATATATACTTATATGTTGATTTTGTTTCGTTTCTGTTTTTGTGGTTGATTTTCCAGAAAATCAAGAAGAGAAAAACTGACAAAGAAACCTCCTTAAATAGGTTTTCAAATGTTTTTCTTATAAAAATCCTCCAAAATAGGTTTCCTAGAAATGGATTAATCAACCAATGAGAGGGTGCTAACCCACCCTCTTTCTTGATTTGAAAGTGGGAACTAAATTAAAGAGAAGAAAAGTTCATTAAAAAAAAGGTTTTCCATAATGTCATTTCTTGGATTTTTTGGCAACCAAACAAGTAAAATGCAAATATATTTCAAGTACATTGAATACTCCATAAGATGGTAAATATTGGTTAAAAACATCTACTCAGTTTCAACTACATCAGTTTTCTTAGAATTTTGATGTTAGTTTCTCGAATTTGTGAAAATTCATTAAAATTAATTCCTCTTACTTGTTTCTTTTTAACTACCCCCACCCCCAAGTTGGTTACTACCAACATCTACTACTTCTCACTCTAAAGCAAAAAGTTAAGCTCACTACTCATGTTACAATAACTATTCATGCTATGGTGTAGTACTGCTATGGTATAGTACTAAATATTAAAATGCTATTTATGCTACAATATTATTTTCATCCATAGATCTAGTGGTCGTGTTGAACTGAAATTTTTTACCATACGTTCATACTACAATGTAATTTTGAATCTTAGGCCATCTCCGACGGAGACGCCAAACCCATTTTGGCGCTGATTGGCACAGATTCCTACTTCCAACGTAGTGCGAAAACGAGCGCTATTTTAGTGGGGTGCTACAGTGTTGCGCTACGAATGGTGCAACACTGTAGGAATGACGCAATACTTTTTTTTTGCTTTTGTTTTTATATTTTTATTAATAATATATATTATTTTATATTAACTATTATAATGAAATTAGAGTATAAAATAATTATTAAAATAAAATTCAAAAAGGAAAAAAATAGATAATTTAATCCAAACACTTAAATTTTCATAATACTAGAACCAAATGAAGAAATAAGAAAAACGTACATTTAGATAAAAAAAAAATACAACATAAAAATTAGGACATAAAAAAAGTACACATAAATTAGGACATAAAAATTAACACTAATTGTAATACATTAAAATTAAAGGAAAATAGAACATTGAACATAAACTAAAACAACATTTTAGTATTTTGGGAAATTATCATCAGAAGGACGAAGATACTCGAAATATTGGGCAAAAGTATCAGAACCGATATTTTAAGATCCTTCACCTTGTTTAGTTCTTTTATGCATAATTCTTGATTGTTCTTGTACAAGAAACTCATGTAGTTTTGGATCAGTTACTTGTGCCAATACGCAGGGCGTAGTGGATAACCAACTATTATTCTGGAGGCTGTAGCTGATTATGATCTTCGGATATGGCATGCATATTTTGGTTTGCCAGGTTCCAATAATAACATTAATGTTTTAGAGGTATCTCATCTTTTTGCAAATTAAACTCGTTGAAGGTATTGCTCCTCCTGCTCATTATGTCATTCAAGGTAAAAATTATAACATAGGTTACTATTTAGCTGATGGTATATATCCAAAATGGTCTACTCTTGCACAAACAATTCATGATCTACGTGGTCCAAAAAAACGTTGTTTGCAATGAAGCAAGAACGATGCAGAAAAGATGTAGAACGTGCATTCGGAGTACTCCAATCTCGATTTGCAATTGTGTCAAGACCAGCTCGTTTTTGAAAAAAAGTATTACATGATATAATGACTGCGTTCATTATTATGCACAACATGATAATTGAGGATGAACGTGATCTTAATGCTACAATTGAAAATTGAAAGGAAGCGCTAGTTCCGGACGTTCAGATGGTTTTACATGAAAATTCTCTGTTTGAAGAATTTCTGGCTCGTCATCGACAAATCAAGAATAAAGAAGCTCATATTGCACTTTGAGATGCATTAATTGATCATTTGTGGGATGAATATACTAATTTAGAGACTTAGAATTTTATCAATATTGACTGTGTCTTTGTGTTTTATTTTATGTTAAATGTAATGCCTTTTATTTTTATTTTTTTTGCTTGCAAGTGTGATGTTTTTTTGTGATGTTAAATGTAATCTTTAGTTGAATTTATGAAAGTAATATTTTAATTTGATTTAGCATTATTTTTATATTTTTATTTTATTCATAAAATATATTATTATAATTAATTATATGTAATGTATTATATAATTATATAATTTGTTAAATATTTTAAATAGATAAAAATGTTAAAAAATAAGAATAATAAAAGAAATATTCTTTTGGTGTAAAATTTGGTGTAATGGGTTGGAGATGAAATAGTGATTTGATGTAAAAACTATACCAACTTAGTGTAAAAACTACACCATTTTGGGTTTTTGGGTTGGAGATGCTCTTAAACATACATTATATGCTACAATAAATTTTTTGAGCTTTATCAACTATTCAAAATAAAGCAAAATTTTTAAACCTTGAAAACATTGTTCATATCTTTTTTCTTTTTCCTTTCTTTGTTTTTAAATTGTTGTATGATGTTTTAACATTTGTCGACATTTCACAAATACAAATCTTTTCTAACTCTATTATAGAAAATTGATACAATTTGATAATTGATATATTATTTTGTCAACAGTTTTGGAGATTCACTTTTTTCTTCGGTTCTGGTGAAAGTGGTAAATGTTACAAGTGATCAATGGAAGAGAATATGGTATTAAGTACTCGCCTTGGTCTCATTTACCGAGGTATATCTATAGTCAAATTGGTAATATGATTTTTATACGTAACTATTTATAAAATTTTTAGCACCAACTTCTTTATACTATTCTTATACCATATTCATGAATAAGAATGTGGCGACAGCAGGGTCCGCTGAGTACGTGTTTCGTAGGTTGAGTTTTGCAATTCAGAAAGGATTAGCGGCGCAGCTTGTTGCCCGCTTGTCATCATCACTTGTGTAATATTTTTTTATTTATTTATTTTACAAAATAAAAATAAAGAAATAGAAAAATAGATTGAAGTGAAAAAAAAAAAGTGAACTTATAAATTGAGAAAGTACAAAAATGTCAAAATGACTTCAACGGTACACAAGATGACCATTGAGTTGGGAGTAGGAATTAATTTAATACTCTAGTAATTTATGTTTTAAATTAGATTTAATGCAAATGATCTTGCTAAGAACTAATAATATGATACTAAGTTTTTTAAAATCAATTTGAGAAAATCTAGTTCGAAAAATTAATACTAAAAAAGATTTCAAACATAAACCCTTAGTTCCGCCTTTTCATCTGTTTATTTATTGCGTCAAAGGATTTCAAACGGGGAAAAAAGGTGAAAGGAGAAAATTAAAATAAAAATTGGGAGAAAAGAATCGCATCGCGATCTTTTATAAGGTTAGTAATCTCCGCCACTTTCACTTTAAAAAAAAAATCAAATCTTATTTAACTTTCTACCGAGATCCTCGTATGATGTCGCAGAGGAAAGTGAAGTAAAAAAGATTGATTGCTTTCTCTGTCCTCCTATCTTTCTAGGGATTATATTTGAATAACTTTGTAAGTATTTGGTCCTTTGTTCGTCTTTTGCCCTTTACATCTGGAGCAAAATTATTAGACAGCAAAATCTAATGCAAATAAGAATTGGGTTCGTTATAATCTTATTCGTAAACCCAAGATGGTGCATTTTTTTACCAGGGGGCAAAAAGCATGGGGTCAGTGAGTGGATCATGATGGTAAAAATCTTAGGCCTTTTTGGATGCGGAGATTAGAAAAAACTAGGGTTATGTTTAAGTGGAGGCACTTATTATGCGAATTCCATTTTGCAAGCTCAAGATGAGATGAAGTAGAGTTGAGATGATCAAAGGTAGGAATGATGTTTGATAGCTCCAAGCATCTCGATTTTCCCGTTGATATAATTGGGGCTGAAAACATCTTTATTGGGATTTTTGGAGTTAATTTATATTCAAAATGATAAATTTAACTCCGTTGCTAGCGGGATATTGTGGAATAATGCAGCTGTGATGAGCCTCGGGTATTTTAGTCATAGTGGGTCAATAAAACTGAAAGTAAAATGTATGGAAGTATATGATTAATGATCGATTCCACAATATATGATCTATCGTTACATTGTATGTTATCCTACTAGAATTGTATCTAATATCCGTTCTAGTAGGAGGCCTTTATTTTATTTTACCTTTTGGAATCAAATTGAAATCTAACATTTTTTCAGTATCTCTAATATCTGTTCCTTTGATAGACCGATAACATATTTAGATAGTTGAAAGACACTGTGAAATGTGAATCGGGGGACTAAAAGCAATTCCAATTATCTGAGGGATTAATTTTAAAAATATGAAAGATCTAAGGGACCAATATCTTAAAACACCTTATAAAAGAATCTAAAACCCCCAAAAGATAGATTGAAAATGCCGAGGGGTATAGACACATTTTCCCCTTAAAATTTAATAACATGTCAATCAATTAATATCATTTTTATGTAGAAAGGAAAAATTTTGTATATTTATATTCTTTTATTAATGTCAAATATGCCAGGATATGTATCCAACACCTTCGGTACATGAGAAATTTGGCAATGTATCAAAAAGGGTGGGCTCCTTCGAAATATTTGTTCTTCCTCAAGTAAGACAAATTTTGTATCTTGCGTTGCAATATGTTTCTCTTCTTTGACCATGTTCTACTATTTCAGTGTGGCCTTCTATCATCTTTGCACAGGACTTTTATAGTATTTTGGCTAGAAGTTTGGTTCTAAGTCATAAATCGCTCATATCAGGTTTGAATATGGTAAATAACTTAATTGATTCTATCCTGGTATCTTCACAATTTTGTATTGTGCTCATTAGCCTACCCAATTTTATAGAAAAGGCTGAATTTTCTACTCAGTTATTGCTTTGATCTCTTGTCAACATGTTATTTTAACAAGCACTGCTCTTCTTGTGGACACGATATATGCCTGACACAAGTTAAGGGGGCATTATTTTTTCCAACCAGCTGGTTCTCTTGGTTGTATGTATAGAGGTTAGAGATGATCGAGGAAGTTGGGAGGAAGAAGGAACTAATAGGTGATGAAGTGGGGTATCAAAGAGAGTTAGAGGGTGTTTGTTTGCATGCAATTGAAAGATAAAAGTGAGAAAGTGAGTTTCTTTTAATATTTTAGGTGTTTGTTTGCATGTCAGTGGTTATGAAATTGAAATGCAAGAAAGTTGCCATATAGAGTTTAATGTATTTTAACTTCTCCTAAAAAATTGATGAAGTCACATGAAAGTGACAAAAATAGTAACCAATTTTAATTAAATGATTTTAACTACATTTACTAATTAATCATAATTTGCCATATCATCTTCACATTGGACTTTCAACGGTAATTTTGTTTTTCAAACAAACACTGTATTTCACTTGCATGCCGACGTGGTGTGATATTCATTTGTGGAAAAGTGACATTACCTTGTTCACTTGGCTTTAGCTCTTTTTTTGTCATTTCTTTTCTTTACGAATCCCCTCGAAGTAGGAAGAAGAATGGCAATGAGAAGTTTCTTCAATAAATAAAGAAATAGTAGTATATTAAGTGCAGGTGCTGGTGAAAGAATAGCTTCTGGGGCTGGAGTCAAAGGAGCTTGAATAGACATCGACATCATAATAGAAACTATGCCTATCAGCAGCAAGTGCCCTTTGGTTTTTTCGAGTCTGTCAAACCATACACACCTTACTGCCCCCCTTTCTTTGGAGTAACTTACACATTTTCAATTCATTTTTGTACTGCTAAACACCCCTTAGTGGAACTTAATGTGTGCAGTTGTGGAGAAAATGGGGATTGTGTTAAAAGTGGGGTAGCATTTTGATTTTTCCAAATTTGCTCCTCTTATGAATTTTAAAGCACAATATTTCATGCGGACATTTCTTGACTTTTTTGAATCGAGACTCACAAAGGAGTAGAACCAGAATTTGTGACCAAAAGTATAGCTTTTTTTTAAATAATAATAATAATAGATAATTGATAGTAGATGAACATCATAATTAATTCTCAACATTTACAAATGACTGTGTTTGGTGTAATATTCTAATTCATCCAACTCCTTGTAAAGTGTGTTTTATTTTTTTAGTTTATCACCTATGGGATCTGGAAACATGTATACTCAGATCCTCTGTGAAAAGAAGCTCAAATGCATCCCATTATCATTCTGCAACTAGAAATTTAGATTTTTATTCAAGTAGAAGTAATCAAGAGTAGAAATAGCAAAATGTTGTATACACGAAGCATGTGATTGCAGCAATACTGAATCCATTCAACTAATAAATATAATGTGCAAAAAATGAACTACTGAGTACAGACACAGCAAATACTATATGATGGATCATAATGATAAGCCACAAGTAGTTTAAACAGACATTTCATTCATGTAATTATTAATTATACAAAATTGAGTTTGCTTAATTAATGCACAGGCAGATCAGGCTGTTAACTTAATTATGATCTGAATGTTTCTTGCTTACACTATGTGATGAGGTAACTACAAATAATGCTTGGGCAAGGGTCTTAATTTGGGATATGAATCAGGGACCCAAAATATGGGACCAATAAAGGGGACAAGTGAGGTGTCCCCCTCCTATTGGATAATGAGTTAGCCATCATTAATGATGACCAACTCATTATCCAATAGGAGGGGGACACCTCACTTGTCCCCCCCTATTGGTCCCATATTTTGGGTCCTTAAAGAATTTTTCATAATTAATTAAAGACTTTTTATGGTTTCAAAGCACTAGAAAGTTATTCTATGCCAGGTAAATAATGAGTGAGGCGTCCAAGTCAAATCATATGCCTGACTGCTGCAATGTGCTAGTGTGCTCAAGAGACATTGGAAATGAAACAACTCATCCAAGCACAAGATGAATTTGAGCAGCACAAATTTGATATACGAAGGGTGTCTTTTTTGAACAAACTGCATATCAGATAGTTTTATTGAATAAAAATATAGTCCCAGAATCCATTCAGCTCATAATTCTAGAGAAAACCATCTTTGGAGCAATTTATGCTGTGATTCTGATGTTCGTTTCCCTAAGGTCAATAGAAATAACTTATTCAACATGTCCAGTTGTTTGCATGTTGAACCAGTGTTGATGTAGCAATTCTCGAAAGGAATCGAATCCTGGTGATGGAAGTAACAATAAATTGTTAGAACTTATTTAGGCTTTCAATTTTTGCAATGGTGTCTTTTCCAAGCTTTTTCTCGAGAAAAAGATTAAGAGTGTTCAGCATGGTGTATATCCTGTGTAACCAAGTAAGATTCTACATAATAAGTTCATTGGCAATTTCCTTGTCAAAGAAATAATAGGTATTGATGAAGTGCCGCTACTAGAGTACTAGTAACTCCAATGGCATGCCAAAGTAAACAAAGGGTTCGTCCTATCCTTTAGATCATTAGATGAATTTTTTATTTCATTTAATGTATTGACATGTTAGTTTTAGATATCCTTTTGGTAGTGATGTATAACTATCTCATAATCAATCACAATACTTCCCCCAAAACCATCCTCCTTGCATTTCACTTTCATCTTTGCAGTTAATCGTTGATGAACCCCTCCTTTTCTATTTTCGCTGCCTTCACCCTGGCTACACTTAGGTCTCGTTGGCTAATGGCAGCAGGTCAGTCGTGCTCAGAATTAGCAAGACTTGGTTGTCGCTAAAGAAAACAAGTCTTTCGCCAAACAAGGGTTGTCTATTGGTTCAAATTGCCTAAACGTGTATTTTTAAACTAACATACAAAATGTCTTATTTTAATGAAAGGAATCAACACTGCAGTTTTCATGTATTACTATATATATGCATGATGATTCTTTCATGCTTTTCTGATGGCATTGGTATTTTCTTCCTTAACTTAATGATGCCGACCATCCCTCAATGAGTCATCTTCTGTATTTAGGATTTAGACATACAGGTACAAGAAATGACACTATTTATGTACTTTACTGTCTTATATTGGGATTGTAATAGTTTTTGACGTCATTTTACCGGATAATATCTCATTTTGCTTAAATATTGTTTTTTACACGATTAATATAGGTTTTACTTTTGAACCTCTCCTTTATTTTCTAATCTGGTTACTTCTGAGCAACATTCCAAAATCGTAAGTAAACTGTAGAATCATTTCCCCCCCTATACCAGCAACATTTATTGCTAAACAAATGGGTGATGATGAACAAGCTGAGTATTTAAATTTTAACTCTTATGTCTTGAATTGCTATTGCAAATCTAGGTCCATAGGTCTAGTATAAAGCTAACCACAAATCTGATTCCTTAGAGCATGCACCAGCTAGTTTTTGTTTTAACTTTTTGTTTGATTCTTCTGACATTATTATCCTTAATTATTGCACATGTCTGGAAAAAGCAACTTAAACTATTTTCATGGACAGATTTTTTAGTTCACCAAATATGTTATGCTTTAGTTGCCTTGCCAGGCATCTAAAGCAATTATAATAAACACATAATTGCTTGTCATATTCACCGCAATTATGATCTTCCTGAATCAGTTGCTATAATTATTTGCATGCTTTTAACAATTTCTAGTGAAAACGATTCTTGTTTGTGATTTCAATTTGGAGAAAATGTAGCCATCTATCCTTCTCCAACCTCCAGAATAGTAATGTAATGTTCTTCACGATGTTTCCATTAGTTTATTCATCTCAAGACTGTTGTCCTCTGTTGCTAGAATCAACTTTGACTTTTAGACTTCAATTTCTCATTCTTCTTGCATGTGCAATTGACGTGAAAGAAGTACATTATCGTTTATGTATGGAGGATTGAGCATATTTAGAATCTTTATTCTGTTGTATGCTATTCTTTTAATTCTCAATTCATTGTTTGAGTTTTGAGTCCGAAATAGCAAAACCCATCATTGAGTAAGCAGAGGAAAGCAGGTTTATAAATTTTGAAAAATATAACAAGGCAGTAATGACCACATATTGATGAGTTTAGAATGACTAACATAATTGACTACATGATTAGTTATATAATTAAGACATTGAAATAGGTGCAAAATTTAGATGGATGGTAAAAAATGATTCACTATTTGAATGGCAATAATCATGTTGGGGAATAATAAACGACCATTAGATTATTAGTCCATAAGTTGCTGGTAGGTGTTGCGTTATGGTGATACAGATTTTTAAATCACTGCTTGTCAATCTTTGTAACCATCTTAAATTTGCTTCCACAAATTTATGACACTAATTGCTATGCCTAGACTTTCCATAAGGTAACAACCTTTTCTTATTCTGCTCATTTTATCTCGTTTCTATTTCACTTCGGACCCACTGGAAACCTGTTTCAATTGCAAGTTTCAGAATTTTGAATCGAGTCTAGATCTTTACTACCTTCCTTAAACACTGAATTTTATGTGTTTCTGGACTCCAGCCTTTTTGGTCATTTGACATTATGGTCCGGCCCCTTGGGTATCTGCTGTAATGGTGTTAGTTTTAGATCTATGTTATCAGGCAATCCATCTGGATGTAATTAGTCGTGTTGCTTCTGTTTCGATCTGTCTTAACCATAAATACCAATCATTAGATATATTCTCAGACCACCATTTCTCGGAAACAAGTTAGGCGCAAACACACCATCTCCACTCACAACCAAGAAGAATGGAAAGATCTTTGAATTTTTTTTTATGAATGCAGCTTCAATATGTTTTTTATCGACATGTTTGACATAGCACTTCTAGACTTCCATACAGACTGTATTGTGTGTGTAAATATGCACATATGTATATATACGCACAACACACGCATGTGTAGATGGATGGATTGACAGAAGGGGAGGCAGGATGGAGGAGGGAGGAGGGAGGGAGCAGGCCCACATGAGGGAGGGTGAGGGAGGAGGAGGAAGCCTGATTTCCTATGTTACAAAAAATGGGATGATATTATTTTCACTTATGTTGGATGATGTCATTCTATGGTACAAAAATTGGGATGATACTATTTTCACTTTTGTTGGAATTAGTAGGGTAGCAAATGGTTACCCCAGTTGCATGATGTTCTCATATATCCAAGGAAACATGCTTCCATATATCATGCGCAAATCACACTCATCTTTCGACTTGAGGTATATCTTCAAGAATTCTATCAAGATCACTTGTCAATTGGTCTTATGTATCTCTTTGGTTTTTGAGTTAGAACTTAGAAGGAAAAATGCGTCATTCTGCTGCTTCACTACATTACTGCATCGCTTCAAGAGGAGTGCCATTGGTGGCTACATTATCCATAATATGGGAACAAACAATCATATGATCGTGGGTTTACGACAAGTTGTGCCAAATATGTTGCATATGTCCTCTATACACACATCTCCATATATTTACGATTATACGTGAAATAATCCATGGTGTGGCAATCCTTGTTGAAAACTTGTCCTATCGTTTCAAGTATCAACTCTTGTGTGAAATATGCAGAGTTCAGTTTACTTCAACTGTTTTCATGGGATGAGCGCATTTGCCTTCCATAATCTAAAACTAACACTGATACCATATACCTTTTGATAATACTGATCGAAATTAATTTTGGGTTCCTTACTCTTTAAATCAACGACATAACGTAATGACAACAAGCTTGCTACTGCAGGAAAAAGGTTCTTCTTTTAGTTAGAACTCTGGGGCTAGATCCATGACTAGCGAGAGATTGCATGCTACCAACATGTCATCACCTAAAACTTTATGTGGACAGTATATTTTTCTGTATTCTTCATGACATTATCCTTACATGCTTTCTTTTTGTACGTTCTGTGTGTTTTACAGGACTTGACTGGTTTTAGTTTCACTTTTTTTTATCAGAGTGGAGTTGAAGTGTTTGATTGTTTTTCTCATCACCGCCATGAAACACAACTGTTATACTTCTTGGTTCAGATTTTGGCTATCTGGTCAAGAGCTTTGAAGGAAGTCACTTACAGAATTAAGGTAGAGACTGTGGTACTCATGTCACTTTAAAGCCTTAGTTTCATCATTTTTTACTTGCAGTTGTATCCTGATTGTATCTGGGCATTGGAAAAGATTTGGATTACTGCATAAACACTGTAGCCATCCCTCTCAATGATAAAAATGACAGATACTCCTTTTCTTCATTATTCTTTACTCCTTTATAGGCTTCATTGTTTAGATGATAAAATATTAGGCTGATGCCATCAATTGCTAATTGACCGTTATCTCAGTTTTTGCCTCGATCTCTGATGAAAGGCATAGTATAAATCATTATGTTAGATCACCCAAGGTTTTAAAATTTTACCTATATCCAAATAGTTGTGTCAATGGTGACAGCTACTATGTTTATTGGAAGTATCATTGTTGTTTTATTTAACATATATTTCCCATAAATTTCAAAGCAATTCTTCATTAGCTACTTTGACGTGTTTCCAACATAGCATTTATAATTCCATAGTTTGTTGACTGTAATATTATCCATGTTCATGTCATGTTTCATATCCTATTTCTGTGTCCTCTTGAGTCTTGACAACCGTGCTCGCAACATAAGCAACCTGATACATAGGTTGGATGCTTGAATCTGTTGAATAGCAAAGAGCTAGTCCGTTGCATGATGTTCTTATAATTCTAAAGCAACATGCTTACATATTTCATGCATAAAATGTCATCATAAAGGATATTGTCAAGATTCTATCAAGATTAATTACTGATAGGTCTTTATGCATGTCTTGATTTCTTCAATAAGAAGGATAAGTGTGTCATTCTGCTTTTGGGCCTCATTAGCGGCTAGACTATCGGTAATCTGGAACAAATACTCATGATTGTGGATATAGAATGAGTTTGTGTCAAATATTCTAATCTTCATTTATGATTTAATTTGAGAGAAAAAAAGAGGGGGGAAAACAATTGTGTTGTGATCCTTATTGAAAACTCCTCTGGCACATCTGCATGTTTCTCAAGTATCTACTACTCTTTTGAAATACACACAGTTCAATTTACTCCAACCGTTTTCATGGGGATTTGGTACATTGAGAGGAACCTGAAAAGATTTTCAGTGCATAATCAAGATTCCATATAACTTCTATTGCTGTAGGTTAAAATTAACCTTGGACTACTGGATACTTAAATCATGACATATTGCAGGGAAAGGTAATCTCTTCGTCCAGAACTGAGCCGGATCCATAACTGGAGGGAGATGCCTGCTAGGCTGCTACCAACATATATCATGCTCCTGAAATCTGATGTCGGCACTATAATATTTTTTCTGTGAGTTCTTTATCACATTTCTCCTAACATGTCTTCTCCTTTTGGTACTTGCAATACACTTTATAAGAAGAAATCCTATAGGGGATCTTCTATAGAAAATCATATAGGTAGATATTGAATAGCAAACAATTGGCTAGCCCAAATCTTGATGCACATGCCACTTTCTACGTGCATATTGCACCAACACAATTGCACTAATAGGAAGTCTAGCGGCACTGGTAGCTCATAGTGACATGTGCATTAAGATTCGTGTTAGGTCAGTTGTCTTCATCTCCTTTCTCCCATGTTTTCTATAGAGGCTCTCTATAGGATTTTTTTCCCCCCTGCGTTATAGGGCTTGATTATTCTAAGCTTCTCTCATTTTAATCAGACCAGAGAGTCCACAAATGAACCGTTGATTATCCTCTAAGCCACCACAATGAAACACATTTTCTTGGTTCAGATGTGTGACTGGCCAGCTGGTCAGGAGCTATCAGAAGCATGCACTTATAATTGAGGCAAAGGCTAACGTACTTCTGTCCCTTGAAATCCTTAGTTTGATCAAATTTTTATTTATTTATTATAATTGCGGTTGTATTCATTTCAGCCTGATTCTATCTGGGTATTGGAAAAAGATGTGGATGATATCAAAATACTGTAGTCACCCCTCTCTATGATAAAATTGACAGGTACTCCTTTATCTTTTTCATTGTTGTTTACTCCTTTATAGGCTTTGATTGTAGAGATGATAAAAATCTTTTTGTCTGCTGTCATCATTTGTTGATGGACTATTGAACCCAAAACTCAGTTTAAGCCTGGATCCCTGATGAAGGGTATAGTATGAATGATTGTGCTAGATTCCCACTGTTTTCCAAGCAAATCAAATTAGTTTTTTTCCCCCTTTTTCCTTTTAAAGATCATTTCATTTGAATCACATGTGGCTGTCCGGGTCTCACCTTTATGCCACTAGATGAGTCTTTTTGAGGTTGGGATTGGTTGCTCTCAGAGAGAGGGTGAGGGGGAGAATAGAGAGAGAAAGAGAGAGAAAAGTTGATATACACTTTTCTCAACCAACAGCAGCTTTAAGTTTGAGATGGAGAGAGAGAGAGAGAGAGAGAGAGAATATGGGCTTCTTTAATTTCTTTTGTAGGTAGTTGCTGTTCATATAGGGGACGTTCTTCTCTCTCATGCTCCCAATCTACACACCCAAACAAATGGCTACTTTCTTTCTTTTATCCTAGCCTTCCTCACTTTCCTTTCCCTATTTCCCCAAAATTGCTCTTTAGAGAAAGCAATTGAATCCAGCCCATGTCTCAAAAGGCTTTTTTAGAGGACCATCTCGCGCGCGTTAGTCGGATGAAAAAGAAGTTGTGCAACCCTTTGCTTGATGCGAAAGACATGGACCACGGGTTGATATTAAAACAAGAGACAAAGATATAAGATTAGGATTTGTTGCTAATGAAATGGGGAAAGTTAAAAAGGAGAGCATGTTGATTAAATTAAGAGGGCAGGTTAGTGAACGCTGCCTCCATATCTCTCTTAGTCAAAATGAAAAGATCTTCGGATTCTCCTTTCCCCCCCCCCTTTTAAACAAGTGAGTCACCAACATTCCTATACAAAAGCTAAGCTAAGCATAACCCCACATAGAACCACTACACCTAACGCTAATGGTGACCTAATAATCACGTTAAGATGGCTATTTTCACCTGCTTTTATCTGAGAGGGAAAGATACGCCGACGTATGCATACAATGCCAAAAATCATTAAAAAATTGGATATGGGAGGGGCTATCGTTTTATAGACTATGTATATATTCTTCATCATAGACTATGTATATATTCTAGAAAAAGCGACTCTGATTTCGCTTTTTTTTTCTTCTTCTCCTCCCTACGATTCTGCTTTTGTCTGCTTCGTATATGCACGTATTTAATCAATTTTTTCTGGTATCGTGTAGCAACTTGGTACGTATAAGGCATGAAAAGTCGGAGATACGTCTGGATACCGCCCGCTAAAACAGGTAGGATGTTGATGCATGACAAGGAATTGCTTGACCCTATATGTTAATGCTTCCCTTTATGATTATATTAATGGGAGGCAATCTCATACTAACTATTTGTTTAGTCCTTGACCAAACTGTCATGCATAGGCATCATTTGTTTATTATGAACAGTGAAGCCTAAAATAAGGATTGAAGGGTGCTTATCTGTGAACGTGCTATTGAGATTTAGGATTAATGAAGGTGTGGCAACAGATTTAGTATTGAACGTCACAGTTATTAATATGTGGCAAGGAAGATCATGGAGTTAAGTTGTCTTGGCATCTTATAGTCTTAACTCTACAGCTACATAGCTGGTATATAAATTCTATCAGAACATCCCGCATATTAATATTAATACCATTATGTTGTTGTCTGATGGACGACGGCTAGTTTGCGAGTCGACGGGGATGATGGCACATCCTAATGTAAGAGAAAATAAATGTATGTAGGGAGAAAAGGATCTCTGCCCTTCATCTCATTTTAGCCAAGTTTAGGCGGTCTAGGTAAGAACCTAGGCGAAACCAAAAGAGCAAGTGATGTGCGACTCATGAAACCCCGTTGGTGAGCCCACATGCACTCTTGAGGGCTGTGGTCCTTACTTTGTTGGGCTAATCACTCACAAATGGGCTTATTGCCCGAGCCCAAACTACAGCGAAACTAAAGCTATACATCTATCTACCCACAAATCATAAGTCTACACCTAAAATCCCCTAAATGGGAGATTGATTGATTGTTTGCGAGAAAATACGAGCAAGTCTAAATTATTAGTGTGGTCTCATACCTACTACACTATTCTCTCTCTCTAACCCCTAAATTTGCTGACACCAAGGGTACACATATTACTATTAGGACAATTACCTTTTCCTAAAAGCACCATATTTCTGTGTATATTTGTACGATGCGCACAGATTTGAGAAATAATTATACTACACATGTGCTCCCAATTGCAGTCAACCCTGTCCCAAGACCAGAAAAGATTGCCCCCCTCACCCCCGCCCCTCGAAATTCCTATATTACCCCTCATCGGCGAGCAGAAAGGGTAAGAGAAAATAAAGATTATTTTAGCCCAGCCCCCACATCCAAATTTCCGCAGCAACCAAATTTCCCACAACAAAAGCTCATGCTCAAAGCCTCAAGCTCAAGAAGAGAGAGAGTAAAGTGCACAAAAACAAACACGAAATAAAATAAAGGCTCTTTTTATTTGCCCTAGTCGATGTCAGTCGAGGGCATGGAACCGAGCTCATGATCGAGGACTGCGGCTTTCCATGGCGACTGCGAACGAATCAGTTACAACGGCGACGTCGATGGACGTCGTGGCTTTGGTCCCTTCAACGGCCGAAGACGTAACGGTGAGAGCCGTTCAGAAGAGATATGAGAGCCTGCTAACCGTCAGAAACAAGGCCGTGAGAGGGAAAGGCGCTTGGTATTGGGCCCATTTAGAGCCCATCCTCCTCCACTCTGAAACCGGCCTCCCGAAGGCGTCAAGCTCCGCTCTTCCCTAATGCTACGCCGTCTTCTCCGCGTCAATCCTCGCGAACCGCTTCCAGAGCGATCTCAAGCCGCGGCACTGCCGCTAATATTCACCTCTCCGTTTCTGCCTCCGCCTCAGCCCAGGCCCAAAATCCCAGGCTGCCCAAACTCCGCCCAGGCCATCTCCTCCATCGCCCTCACTTCAACAGCAGCGGAACGTCGCTCCTCCTCCTCCAGCAGATCCACCCGTTGGCGCTCGTGGACCCGCACAGCCACCGTGTGACGTCGTGCTACTCTCCTTCCTCCACCCGCCGTCGCTGCCTACCCGGCGCCTCCGCCACCGCCGCATTTCGTGCTGTCCGGCGCGGAAAGAGGACCTCGGCGCGCTCGCTGCTGTTCGAGGACAGCGTGAAGAAGCTGAAGAGCCCGAAGCGTCGTCCGGTCCGCCTATCGAGATCGCAGCGCGATCCGCCGTCGCCCTACTCTCGGATTGGTTCTACGAATCGTGCGGTCCGTTCCTTCTCCTCCGTCCGATCACCCGAAATTCCGGGCCTTCCTTCATTCAAGTTGGGCTACCGCCGGTCTCCCGCCGCGAGCTCGCCGAGCGAGGCTGGACGCTCGTATGACGAGGCCGCGTCAGACGCCGAGGCCGATACGAGACGCTCTCTTCTTTCAAGTGGCCGCCGGTGGATTCAGGTCTCGGTCGCTCTTCCTCTGAGTCCAGTTTAGTTAGTATAACGGTGAACCTCCCAATGGACTACAGTCTTCCGACGGGCAGCATGTGCTCGTGCACCGGGAACGTGCCGTCGAAGTACGTCGAAAGGATGCTTTGGGATGCTGTGACTTAATCTCCAGCAGGGACGCGCGCGAGCGCTCACCCGTGTGCTGGATGTCGGCGCTGACAAATTCAAGTCCAAAGCGCTTGAGGGATTTAGAGAACCAGAATCATTGGATGGTGAACCTCTCTTGTCAACTCCAAGGAGTTCGGAGCCTCGTTAGGCGACTCACCCGCGCCCCATCCCCCTCTTTAGTTCCGTCATCAGTGGTTGCTCCAAGATCGCCGATCTCTTCAACAATATAACACTCAGGTCCGCAACATTTTCCACAAGTATCAGATCAGAGGCTCGACCACTCTTTCTCTCCGCTCGTCGAAATGCAGCTGACATTGCCCTCGGCCTCCGCATTGCTCGAGGACGTTCATCGCCTCGGACTCGTCCGATGCAGTTGACGGTGCACGATGATTCGTTCAAGCTCGCCTGCCTCGATGACCCAAATGCGACGCAGTTGGGCGAAATGGTCCGTGGAATTTCCTTCTGGACCGATTTAGAGGCTGTTCGCTCGCTCATCAAAATGATCAATACCACGGTTAAAGAAATGGAGGCCGAGCGTCCTCTCGCAGGGCAATGCTTGCCTCTCTGGGACGAGCTCCGGTCCAAGGTAAAAGAATGGTGCTCGAAATTCAGCATTGACGACAATCCTATAAACAAAATTGTAGACGACCGATTCAGTAAGAATTATCATCCGGCTTGGTCTGCAGCGTTCATATTAGATCCCGTCAATTTGATTAAGGACTCCAGCGGGAAATACCTCCCTCCGTTCAAATACTTAACCCCCGAGCAAGAGAAAGATGTCGATAAACTCATAACGAGGCTGGTGTCAAGGGAAGAAGCCCACATTGTTCTTATGGAGCTAATGAAGTGGAGGTCCGAAGGGCTTGACCCGTTATATGCACGTGCCGTTCAAGTGAAGCAGCGAGATTCTGTAACGGGCAAGATGAGGATCGCGAACCCTCAGAGTAGTCGATTAGTATGGGAGACTATACTGAACAAGGAGTTCAAGTCCCTTTCCATGGTTGCGGTGAGAATTATATTTCTGCACGCTACGGCGTGCGGGTTCAGGTGTAGCCCGATGTTGGTCCGGTGGTTCGGAAAGCACGGGCAGTGCAGGGCGGGTATGGACCGGGCACAGAAGATGGTTTTCGTGGCCGCGAATGCGAAGCTAGAGAGGAGGGATTTCTCCGATGAGGAGGAGAAGGACGCGGAGCTGTTTGCCAATGGGGAGGATGATGTGCTCAATGAAGGATTTCTTGATTCTTCTTCCGTGTAACATTTTTATTTTCATCATTTTTTTTGGGGGTTTTTAATTAAGTAGGGATTTGCTTAGAATTTTTCTTTAGGTCGCCGCTGCCTATCGTTGATGTTCGATTACTTACATTAGAAATGGTAGTGTTTTCTCTGTGAGGATAAATTTGAAGAAGAATGTAGGGGTTTGGGGCTTGTTTTTTTTCCCCCCTTTTCCTTTTTTTTTAATCGGAATTATTATATTTAGCTGTGGAATTGAAGCATATGATTCTTTAGAGTCATTTTCTCATCATTTTTTGTCACCAGCTTTTGGGTCCTGGTGTAACTAATGATTGGTACGTGCAGAATAACAATTGTTTTTGTTGGGTATCCTTCCTTCTTTTTTGTTTGTTGGAACTCTTGCATTTAAAATGGTTTCTTAATTCTATGTTTGAAACTGAAATAGACTCCTCGAGTTTTACTTATTTAATTTAATAATTTATTTATTTTGTGAGAAACATAACTCATGTGCCCTGTAGCTACCTGCTACTCATTCATTAATCTCATGTGTGGGGACTAAACCTACCTCAGATCTGCTAAAAGATCTCCCTACTTTAACTAAATTTCAAGAAAACGTTGCTCGTGCCCACACCATAAACGTTTTCCTTTTCCTCCCTTTCTTCACTTCACTTAACATGCTAATGATCGCTGCTGAATCGTATTGGCGAAGAGTGATGCACGAAGCTTTCTTAATCCCTGAGTAAACATCCCAAACGATCGTTGGAATCTTGGTTCTTGTTCCAAAGCAAATGTAAGGACGTCCATTTCCGGCAGGTCCACCTTTTTCCAAAGTTTTTCTCAGAAAATATTTTTCCTGTTTAGATTAGTAGGTAAAATAGGAATTCATGAATAAGAATGTGGCGACAGCAGGGTCCGCTGAGTATGTATTTCGTAGGTTGGGTTTTGCAATTCAGAAAGGATTAGCGGCGCAGCTTGTTGCCCGCTTGTCATTATCACATGTGTAATAGTTTTTTCCCCTTTTCTTATTTAAAAAAAAACGACTACAACAAAAAGAAAAAAAGAATGGCAAAAAAAAAAAAGTTCAGGTTTTCCATCCAATTCCGAGCATAAAGCTTGGACTTTGACACAAAATCATGATATTTAAAGACGTTTCCAAAATTTTGACTCAATCATATAGAAGATTGGACCGATTTTAAGAAATTGGGGTTTCTCGGGGGGACGTGTAAGACGCTTTCCACTTTATTTTTATGCTTTCCAAGCAAACCAAACAGCCTCTGAGGTGGATAAGTCTCACAAATACATTCTTCTGTATTCCTAAGAGAAATATCATCGGAAGTGTTTCCAGTTTGCCCTTGACGAGAAAATTCTTTTCAAGATGTTCACATAGCTTTCGTCACTCAAAATTTCTCCAAGAGCAAAGAAGTTACTTTCCTCTATCGATCTCTATTTGAATACTTTAAGGTTAATATTGACTTCTCATTCTCCAATGAAAAACTCTTCAATGGCGCACTAATCGCTTATCACCACGTAGCAATATCACCCATCACATAATAATGTAGGAAAACCTTAGGTACGCTTACGAAGACACACCCAATCTAATCTCCACACTGTTCCACGTGGAAGAATCGTCAGTAATAGAAACACAAAATTAAGAGGGGGGTCGCATAGTATCAAACAAGAGAGCTCAGCGTTTCACCAATTTGTCTCCTTGGGTTGGCTACCATTTACTTCATTCTCTTTGGAGCAAAACCCGCCTTCATTATCCCAGTACAAAGACAATGCCAGTTCCGTGAAATAAGGAATGGGCATTCGATTCTCAACAAGAGAAATAAAAATAAAAATAAAAATAAAAATAAAAATCATGGGCCTTGGTCTCACTAAGATTCCCTTCTAAGTTCAGCTCCACCAACTAAATTCATGGAACTGACTTTCGTGAATCAGGCAAGGCTTCAGTACCGATCGATTCAAGTTGTAAACGATCGCTAGAGCTCGTTATTTTAACAAATCAGCATTGGCACGGACTGGATTGGCACCTGAGCTGAAACAGCTCACAAAAGGAAACCATAAAGGCTTCTAAGAATCATCAAAGTGAAAAATATGAGAGATGCCAAAACTTTTAATAAATGGTTCAAGATGGTCGACAGAATTGAAAAGGATCTTGGCGAAAGGACGCATATTTTTGTAATTTTTGATTTGAAATGTCATGCTGAAAGATCATGGGCTGTTGGTGGCATTCAATTGTGGGATGCACCAAATGTTGGCATGTACATGTTTTATTTCCTACAAAACCTCGGATTATAATTAAGAAAGAAAACATGTTGTTTTTTAATTTATTTTTTTTTTTTTGCTTTTTTGCTTTGAATGAGGCCCACTTCAATGGATGTCGCGGTCTAATTTATTTGCCTTCAATCTCGGCCTTCTTTCTTTCCCATCATACCGTAAACATTTCTAAAGCCTAATATCATGTCGAGAATCCAAAGTTTGTTTGTTTTTTTTTTTTTTCAAGTTACATTTCATTGAAATGGCTTCTCAACTATCTATCACTCATTCAAATCACTCACGTTGCCTCCTCTCCCTGTTCCTGTCGGCAAAGATACCTTCAGAGGCACGCCGAATCCGGCGACTATATATAGCTTCTTCTTTAAGAAAAACACATAATATCTTATAGTCTTACAAAAGTCACAAATTAAAACAAATTGTTCTTATAAAGTATTAATATGTAAAAATTAAAAAAAGATGGTTAAACAATCTTTCTGTCCCCATAACCATCATCAGTGATAGCGTCGACTACAATTGCGGGAAAGGTTAGCCTTTATTTAAGTGACGCGGCGACGGTATCTTTTGAATCTATTGGTGGATTAGATAATCTAATGCGGCTCATTATTGTAAGCACCCTTGAAGAAAAGTGTTGACCCTTTTCAATTAGGGAGATGATTAAGCACAGAGGAAGAAAGTTAGAAAGAGATTGTTTGTACAAAATGGCAATCACCACTGCAACCACCATTTCAGGATAAAAAAATGCCATGCTCGTCATCTTTTGCTTTTGTAAAGGACATCTTCCTATTATGGAAACTAATCCCCCCCTTTTTTTTTTCAATCTGATGAATAGTGGTAGTATATGTAGATACCTATTATTATCATTAACTCACGGTACTCACCCTATCATCAGCAAAAGGCCAGCCAGCGAGGCCGAGATCATAAAGGTAAACACAAAAACAAGGAGTGGTACACAATGGGAAAATTTCGTTTAGGGGTTATCAAAAACTTCTCTTTAGCTTTAAGATTTTATCAAGAAACTCTTCTAAACAATGTTACTTGCAATTTTCATGTGAGCGTGTAAAATTACACTGGGGATATTCTTGACAATGAAAATTGGAGTTCGTGTTTTTAGGTTGGTTCTATGAAAAGATCTTAAAGTCAAAGGGTTTTTTCATAATCCCTGAACTTAAGGGGTTCTGTAAAATTTTGAAAGTTTTGGGGGGTAATTATTCACGTTTAAAGAGGGCTTTTAAGATATTTAGAGGGTGTTTAGTAATTTGAAAGTGAATTGAAAATAGAATAAATTACTTCTTTTTGCAAATGACTTTCACATCCACGTCAGTATACAAGTGAAAGACAGTGTTTGTCTGAAAAAACAAAATTATTGTTGATAGTGAAATGTAAAGGTGACATGACAAAATATGATTAATTAATAAATACATTTAAAATCATTTAATTAAAATCGGTTATCATTTTTTGTTGATGGCTAATATCAAACGGTCAAATAAGGGGGAATGATCAAGTTGACAGAGGTCCTCTAACCCTCCGAATATCTGGTTCTTGAGTAAGTCATTCTTCCATGTACAAGTGACAAATCGTAAGAGGGCGAGGTTGGGTTCCCCGGTTGTTCCTTCGATAATCAAGTCAGTAGGTGCTTGAGTGGAGAAGTAGAAATGAACTGCAGTAGTTCTTAAATACAGTGAGTAGTGAGAAAGATCTTACCTTGTTATTGAAAATAGTGTCTCTATTTATAACAGCGGTAGAAGGGTAGAATGGTAACTTCGGCTAAGTATGGGGTGGCGACCACGTTAGCCTCAGCTTTACAGGTGTCAGCCGACGAGTGGACAAGAGATCACTTCGATATTTAATGCGAAGTGATTAGGGGTGAGCGGTGCCGATGTGGTCTGATGTGTCATAAAGACTATTGGGGGCAGAGGAATGATGGCGCCCATAATGCATTTAATGATATTTTATTGCGAGGTAATTGGTCACTAGTGCACATGAGGGGGCTCGAGGCTCAAGGCATTTCGTCGCCTTTCTACTCGTACGGTGGTCGAGAAGTACAACCTTTTTAAGTCGCCCTTGCGAGGTGTCGGTCAAGTGGAGTGATTAAGTAGTCGACTCGGCCAGTGGACGACACGTGACGCCTTTCAGGTCGTCCTTGCAAGATGTCGGCATGTTGAGTTGACCAAATTGGACCTCTAATTATATTGAAACGCTGACTTGATTATGCATAATGTGGGACACTTGTCTGCCATTGATTGGAGATTATTTTTCATCACCAAAACGACTAAAATAGTTTTGTTACTTTCATGTGACTTCACAACTTCTTAAGGGGAAGTGAAATTTGTATTAAATCCTATATGGCAACTTTCTTGTATTTCTCTTTCATGACCATTTGCATACAAACAAACATTTAAACTCTTAAAAAAAATCAATTTTGTGGAGAAATCAGAAAAACCAGATTTTCTGGTATAAGTCGACTCATGCACAAGGCTAAGTCGACTTATGGTAAGTCGACTTGTCAGTGTGCACAAGTCGACTTACGATCTGCACTGGAGTTGTGTTTTTTTCTCTCTGCCAAGTCGACTTATCAGGCCTGATAAGTCGACTTACGAAGTGTGCTCCAGTTGCTGTTTTTCTCTCTGCCAAGTCGACTTATGCTCTCTGTTAAGTCGACTTACGATGGGTTTTTTGCATAATCAGGTTTCCTGTTTGCAGTCTGATTGGGTTTTTGTTTTGATATAAATAGGAAAACGATTTGTTAGGGTTTTTAATCAGAGATTGAGGAATCTTTTGAGCATTGTGAGAGGGAGATATTGTGAGCAAGGTGAGATCTTTGGTTGAGGGTTAGTTTGAGAGTTTTTGTGTGATTGTAACTCTTTGTACTCTCCTTGAATTAGTAAAATCTCCCCATCCTCTCCCCGTGGACGTAGGCAAGTTGCCGAACCACGTATATCTCTGTGTTTGGTTTGATTTGTCGTAATTGGCTTGATTTGTGTAA